ATCGATTGCATCAGACGAAAATGGTCTGGAACGGGTACTGGAATCGCTGGTGGTTAGATTGATTTTGCTGGAGACGTCATGCAAAAGCTGACTTGAAACCTGAGTATCAATAATTAAACAAATAAATAAATGGTTTGCTGAATAACTAAACAAATAATTGAGTATATTAGATGATAGTCTTTTGTTTTTTAGGTCATGCCCTCCGCAGACTGAATCCAGAATCTCCAAGTTTTCCCCACTGGATCTGTGCCTCCGTCTAAAAGAATATCCCAAAGATTGTTGTTCATATGTGCCATTTGATAGCTTCACCTAAGCGATCACAATGGATAAGCACATATGCTGAATTAAAACATTCCTCTAATAAAAACTATTCGAAGGCATTCCGCTTCTGAACGTTCATAAATCCATTTTACGCGTAGTTTTAAGTTAGAATTTCATTTAACCACATAAATTATACTTCTATATAAATCTCATTGTTAGACCTTACCATTTCATCAAGACACAAACGTTTGGACATAGCCCGATAAGCATGAAGCTGCTCTATTCCGAGGCTATATAAAAGCCCTCATGAATTTGGGGATCCGTTAACAAAATTTCTGAGGTACCAAGTTCCAAGTCCTCTCATCTTTAAACTGCGGCATTTCTGTTGTTCTTGAAATTGTTATTTTTGCTTCTGCCTCGAGGTTTTTAGGTGAAAATTTTTATTCTGGCCAGAATGAAAATTCACACCTACCAAACGCGAGGCAGAAGCAAAATTAACAATTTGCGAGATACCTTTTGAGAGTTCAAGAAAAGTACCAGTGGGGATCAGCGCTACGGTGGCGAAATGCGAGAAAATCCGCAGAATAACAAGGCATTGAGTGTAAGGAATGCAATGCTCTCCATGAAAAATAAGGGGTGCCTGGGATTACCACGGCGGTAATGGTATGAAATTATATTTGGACTAGATTTCAGCGGTGTGCACTGAATGGTGAGCTTCTACAGTGCCAGGGGAAATACGTCTGCCCTAAGGTTTTGGTAGAGGCGAATCTGGTGTCTAAGCTCTATCGCGCCTCACCTCGATCATTTTCTATGCGACACCACCCTGTGCGGTATAATTATGAGCCACATTTTCGTCATAGTTGGGAATCTCGGAAATCTCGCAAAAATTAGTCAACACTAGAGTAAAACTAACGGAGTTACTAACGGACTAGTTCTTCAACGGAGAGAGATACCCTACTATTGACTAGATGTCTCGGCAAGCATTTCTGTCGTGAACTGAGCCTTCAAGAAATGATTATTCGGCCTTGAATCCTGCATTGGATCAATGAGCACTTTTTCCGAACACAAGCCTATTTATATGTCGACATTTTCTATTTGCAAATAAAGTTGTTTTTTCATGAAGACCACAAAAAAACTTATAAATACAAGTATG